CTGGTGGCCTGGGAACGTTCCGGCGTAGGGAGAGCACCAGCCGGCCAGGAGCGATAACGCGATCCAGTGGACACATGGCTCCCCTGTCGCTCCCGTCCCAGCGATTGCCAGCAGTAGCCGCCCGCTCTGTCAAAGCATGTGCAACCTGGCGAGACGATGTGCCCACAGAGCTTGCCGAGCGATGCGCATCCTCATACTGCCTGATCCACGGCCTATGAAGCTTCGACGCCAAGGCAACAAATGCATCCGGCGCCATTTCGCGCTGTAGCACTTCTCGGTCATCTCGCGCCGTGCTGGGCGCCGTCGCATACAGCGTAAGCGGACAAGCAGAGGAGCTAGCACCAGAAGACAGCTGATTCACCGGATCATTGCCCAGGTCCTGCGACTCCGAATCCTGGCTCTCGCTCTCAGAGCTAATCGGCACAGCCTCAGAACCCATTGCATCACGCTCTCCCTGGCGCTGCGCCAGCCTCACGCGCTTCGGCGGTCTTGCAGCCTCCCTATCTGTGTCTCTGGGACGCCGCCTGCGGTTGCCACCTCGGCGCCCACGCGGGCGGCCACGAGCCATGTCCGGCGAGGCAACCCCTCTTAGCGCCCTAAGAGAAGGGCCTGAGGCAGGTATGACAAAGTACCAATTGCGTAGCCTCAGTGAGGGTGCCGCCTAGCTGCTCTATATGAGGTGTCCCAAGCGGGCATGCACACCAGTACTGCCAAAAGGGCTGCGGGGAGTTAAGGTGCGAGGACTGATGGTGACAGCGTGCCGATGCCTGCCAAGCTCCGTGCCCGAAATCGAGACTGCCGGAACTGAACCCAACCCCAAGCACCCTGACACCTATGAGCCCACCGTGCGTCTGCAATCGTACCTGCAAGCCGGACGCGTGGCAGGGAAGGGGGTGGCTTATGCAAGGCCAACTGTCGGGGGGGTCGCACAGGACGATCGGTAGGCTGAAGATTGGCATGCCATGGCAGTGGAAGCTGGAAGGACGAGTGCATGGACCGGGCTGCGCACAGCTGCAGGCGGAGGTGGACCTCCAGCACCGCGCTGGCCCACACACCTTAGTAGGTGAGGCAGACTTCAGGCACTGAACCTTAGTGGGGCTCCGCGGCGGACAGGCTTCCTTAGTCCATGGTGTCCAATCCCAGCAAGTCACTCCGCGTAGGGTGGCGCTTTTCCAGCGAATTACTGCTATTGACCAGTGCACGCAGTTCTCGCTTGGCATCTGATTGAGTCGACTGGCCAGCTGTAGGTGGGGCAAAGGAGGTGGCAAATCGCAACCCACGAAGGCGAACAGTGCAGCTGAGTGGCTTGTCTCCTCCAAGATCGTCACGACGTTTCGCCATTCCCGAGTCCAGCCATTCACGTGCAGACGAGTGCTTACCAGGAAGTACAGACACAGGGTTGGCAGCGCTATGCTTCTCAGAGGCCATGATAGCATGTCAGTCAGCGCAGATCCAGCTGTATGGCGTGCACTACACTCGGAGTCCCTGAACCAGGCAAAGGGGAGGGGCAACCCGCACCCGAAATAAAGTCACACTCCACAGCCTGAGGGCACACAACACGGCTTGGGCCCAGACGCTTCGGTGGTGGCGGTGGTGGTGGCGGTGGTGGTGGTAGTGGTGGTGGTGGGGGTGTCGTCGTCGGCGTCGTCGTCGTCGCTATCGTTGTCGTTGTCGTCGTCCTCGTCGTTGTAGGTGGTTGTTGTCGTCCTTGTTGTTGTTGTTGTTGTTGTTGTTGTTGTTGTTGTTGTTGTTGTTGCTGTTGCTGTTGTTGTGGTCGTCGTCGTCGTCGTCGTCGTCGCCGTATCGGTCGTCGTCGTCGCGGTCGTCGTCGTTGTTGTTGTCCTCGTTGTCGTTAGTCTTGTTGGTGGTGGTGGTGGTGGTGGTGGTGGTGGTGGTGGTGGTGGTGGTGGTGGTGGTGGTGGTGGTGGTGGTGGTGGTGGTGGTGGTGGTGGGTGGGTGTGGGGTGTGGTGGGGTGTGGGTGTGGGGGGTGGGGTGTGGGGTGTGTGGTGTGTGGGCTGTG